CCATAATAGCATTATTTTTAGTTTGGAGCCAAAAAAGAGCTTGTAGTCTGCATCTCCAGAAGTTACCGCAAAATGGAAGGGAAACTAACATCGTGATTGTAGAACATTCCATGAAACATCTCGAAGTGAGGTCGTGTGAACTCTTCTTTTTCCTCTGGAGTAAACTTGAGAGACATCGCTTCCAAAACTGCTATGGCCGCAAACACCTCAATAAACTCATTGATCAAAATGCTCATCTTTTTATGTAGACAATACCTCTTTGACGGAATTCAATGTGATGTTATTGTAGATTTTCATAGTTTTGACATTATCTAAGTACTCCATGATAATGTAACCTTTGACAGGATTAGATTCAGAGAACTTTCTCATGAAGTAGATCTATAGTACAAGCATATGTAGAATGAATATTTTATGGAAAGAAAAGAAAGTCTACCTTAGGAATGGGAAAATTTTCATGCCTATACTCGATCAGATGGCTGTAAACGGATACCTCGCCGTTATGTAACTAAATATTCTTTCCCTGATAGTCATATAGCACAAAATCATTTTCTCAAGCAGACCATTTTTTGAGGTTCATCAAATTTGATCCTAAAATCGCTGTTTACACCCATTTCTGCTGTCAGCTTTGCCAGAAGCAGCTGAGTGAGGATCTTAACATGCTTTGTGTGAGATAATAAAAAATTTTCTTTCTGCCTAACCTTAACAATGAATTTCTCTGGAAGCTGCTTGTCCACATTTTGCCAGTCAGGATCTATGAGGACAATTCTGGACATGAAGCCCTGCAATGCGCATCAGACATTGTATCGTAGAGAATTGTATAAGGAATCAAGCTTACAATTCCATCTGCAATATTTTTCGCAGTTTTGTTCGGACCGAAGAAGGCTTTCGTATGCAATTCTCTCTGCATATCATTCTCAATGTCCTCCCATGTTACATGCGTTTCAAACAGTCCACTCCCAGGAGTGTACAAATTCATAATTATGCTAGAGTTCTGTATTTTGTATAATATA